ATCGGTCTCAAGTAAGAGTGAGGATGAACCTGGACTCCGGGAGAGACTCTTTCCTGTCGAGATTTATCATCGAAGTTGATGACAGAGGAAGGGGAGGGGGGAAGGAAGGCTGCTAGAAATACTGGGGACCCTGAAGGTCCTCTACTCACACACCCCCTTCCAGGGCACTGAAGCCAGAGGCAGAAGTTGATGAGGATGGAGTTGTGATGTGCTCAGGCACCAAGGAAGGCGAAGAGGTGGGCCAGGTGAAAGCACTGGGACAGAAATGGTCCTGAGGTGATGATGGAGTTAAAGCGACAAGTCAACTTTCCTTCACTGATCCTTGTTCTGATCCCCAAGGCTGAGGAAATGGCCTCACCCTCCAAATGCCAGCTCTGTCCTCTGAGTGGTGACTGTCAGGAGCTCCCCCAGGCAGCCATGCTGACTCCTCCCCAGGAATCTGAGATGGATGTCCCTGACGTGGATACCCGTGGACCTGGTATGTAAGACAACCCAGATCAAGAAAAGGAAAATTCCTTTTGACTCTTTTAGAATCAGAAAGCCTTTGGATATTCGAACTAAAAAAACTAAGGGTAGAGTTAGTACCTTACAATTGTGGTTCTCAAAGTGTGGTCCCGAGACAGAAGAATCAGTTTCACCAGGGAAATTGTTAGAAATACAAATTCTCAGGCTCCACTCCAGAGCTAGTGACTCAGAAATTCAAGATATTGGGGAATCTGTGTTTTAACCAGCCCTCCAGGGAAGTCTGATCCAGACTCAAGTTTGAGAACCACTGCCCTAGAATGTTAAAGAATCAATGCCTCCTGGCTCCTCTTACAGATGAGGAAACTGAAGCACAGAGAAAAGTAGAAAAGTCATTTGACTAAAGTCACATAAAATCAAGAGCTAGAGCTGGGCTTCCTGCCACTGACGCTATGATTCTCCCTGAGCCTCCATGTTCTTCCCAGTTAGTCCTTTTGATTGACTTGTCTCCCATCGCTCATGTCTCTCATCCACAGATGGAGTGACAGCCCTGATGTCAGCAGTTTGCTGTGGGAGAGTGGAGTCCAGGACCTTCCAGGGGTCATGGTTGGGAAGCCCGGAGCCCTGGGAACCTCTGTTGGGTGGAGGGGCCTGTCCCCAGGCTCACACTGTGGGTACTGGGGAGACCCCCCTACACCTGGCTGCCCGATTCTCCCGGCCAACTGCTGCCCGCCGCCTCCTTGAGGCTGGAGCCAACCCCAATCAGCCAGACCGAGCAGGACGCACCCCTCTTCACACCGCTGTGGCTGCCGATGCTCGGGAGGTTTGTCAGGTCAGCGCACACTCGGATCGCTAAAGGGACGGGGGGGGCAAACTCATAAGTAAACCTGGGCAAAACCATCCCCCAGGGTTTGGCAGAGAGGAAGGTGATGTGATTGGGGCTCTGAAAGGAAAAACAACAGATGACTGAATATGGATTTGCAGGTGGTTAAGAGTGTGAGGGACCTGAGCTAGCAGTCCAGGACACACCAAGGGTCACTGCCCCTCTTTGGCTCCCCAGCTCCTGCTCCGCAGCAGACAGACTGCAGTGGACGCACGGACAGAGGACGGGACCACAGCCTTGATGCTAGCCGCCAGGCTGGCGGTGGAGGACCTGGTTGAAGAACTGATTGCAGCCCAAGCAGATGTGGGAGCCAGAGATAAATGGGGTATGAATCCGGAGAGGTTGGTGTTGTGCTATGGAGAAGTTGCACAGGTGGGGTGTGAGATAAGAGGCAAAAAAAGGAAGCAGCTGAAGGACCAACTGGAGGCTGGGGGATTCCATCCCACCTAGCTGTCAGGGTGGTAAAATCTGTGGTGCGGTGTCAGTATAAAACGCTGAGACTTCCCCTTTCATCATGAACATCATCACGCACATTGCCCTAGTCCATTGGAAAACAGGCTGGAGAAGAAGTGTCTGTGAGAAAGGGGAAGGGGTCTCGTGGGGGGAGGTCTCCCGGTCCCACCGAACGCAGAACAATGCCCCATTGTCCCTCCCGCGCGCCTGTGACGTTACTAGAAGCAAGGCTTCCTGCCGACCGGCGGTCACCCAGGCAACGCTTCCGCCTTTGAGGTAACCCAGCCAGCCCGAGTTAAGGCTTTCCCCCTAAATCAGAATCCGTGGGAAACAGGAACCCAGGAGTCTGGTCCACAGCCTCTGGGTAACAACCTCCCACGTCGTCCCCTAGGAAAAACCGCGCTGCACTGGGCCGCCGCCGTGAACAACGCCCGGGCCGCCCGCTCCCTTCTCCAGGCCGGAGCTGATAAAGACGCCCAGGACAGCAGGGTTAGACCGGGAGCGGGCTCCGTACAAAAAAAAAAAAAAAAGAAGAAGAAGAAGAAAGAGAGAGCACGGGAGAAGCAGAAAGCGCGGGAACACCGCAGAATCTGAATGGGGAGGGGCTAGTGGTCAAGTGAGTGGAGTCCGGAAGGGCCAGCCCTGTGGGCGTGGCCCTCCCTGATCTCGCCCTCTGGCTGTTTCTTCCGGCACAGGAGCAGACGCCGCTGTTCCTGGCGGCTCGAGAAGGGGCGGTGGAGGTAGCCCAACTGCTGCTGGGACTAGGAGCGGCCCGAGGACTGCGGGACCACGCCGGGCTAGCGCCCGGGGACATCGCTCGCCAGCGCAACCATTGGGATCTGCTGACGCTGTTGGAGGGGGCGGAGTCACTGGCTCCCGGCCGCGGGGCGAGCGCCTTCCCGCGCTCGCGTACCGCGTCGGGAAGCTTGCCCCCGCGTCGGGGCGGGGCTCTGTCGCGCAGCCGGACGCTGTCAGCCGGGGCTGGTCCGCGTGGGGGCGGAGCATGTTTGCAAACCCAGACTTTGTCCGAAGAGTGGGCCGCGCGTGGGGGCGGAGCCTATTCGCATTGCCAGAGCCTATCGAAAGGAGGAGCAGGAGGCGGCCCGTCCCCCGGAGGCCGTAGGTTTTCTTCAGGCATGCGCGGGCCTCGGCCCAACCCTGCTACAGTGCAAGGAAGATCCGGGGTCGCTTCCGGGGCCGGGGGTGGGGCCTCGGCCGACGACTGGCCCTGCGATTGGGTGACCCTGAGAGCCTGCGGCCCCACCTCCAACACTCCAATCCCGCCTCCTTGCCTTACACCGTCCCCGGAGCGAGGATCCCCTCAAGTCGCCTGGGATCCTCCAACCCACCGAGTAATACCTTTGAACGCGGGAGGCAAGGGTCAAAAATAGAACGCTACATGACAGGGATTCTAAACGTGAGCACCTATTCTAGAACAGCCTAGAAAGACTCCAGATTTTAAGATCCTGGAGCCCCAAAAGTGAGGAGTCATGAATATTGTGTCCCTCCCAAAGTGACTGTATGCCCTCTCCTTGCCTTACACGTGGAGAAGCTGCAGCCCTGAATGAAGAGGGCCCAGCCCTTCTCCCAGAAAGTAAGAGTGAGGAGCTACAGAAGGCTGGAGTGGAACCAATAACTACAAACAAAGGATGTAAGACATTCTTGTATATGGTATCCAAAGGAAGCCTCTGTTACCCACAAATGGCTGATAAATATTTACCGAGTATCTACTATGTGCCAGGCACTGTGTAGGTGCTGAAGTGGTGGGTCAAGGGTCACGCCAGCTTATGACTCCTTGCACTTTAACCATTTCCCTCCTCAACCATCCATCCCAGGGATGAAGCGCCATTCTTCTCATCACCACTCTCTATTTAAGAACCTCAAATCTGTCACCCCATAATAAAGCTTAGTTGAAGTGTTAACCATTTTTTTGGAAGAGTTGAGTGGAATGGGAAAAAATATGGAAATGACTGCATAGAGTTTTCCGAATTTTGTGCCCTAAGATCAAAGTCATCCCTTTAGGAGCAGCTGGGTGGTTCAGTTGGTTAAGTATCTGACTCTTGATCTCAGGGTCATGGGTTCAAGCCCTGCACTGGGCGTGAAACCTATGTAAGAAAAAAAAAATCATCTCTTTGGATGGAGGCTTTGAGTACAGTTCAAGAGCGAGAATAAGTCGATTTGGGGGATACGGTGTTATTTTAGAGTATCTGAAAGCAAGAGTCTCTAGTAGCCCAGGGAGAAGCCACACATACATACAACTATGTATACACTTTATCCTCTTCAAAGGGCATTTAGTTATGAACACTTAGGACATTCCTAAGGCCTCAAGTTAAGGGAGACAGAGCATCTCAAACATTATACACCTTTCAGAAACGGTTACACCTCTTTAAGGGTGATGGGCCTGAGACATGGAGGCATAAGGCATTTTGAAAGCTAATAGTAACTACCATTTATTGAGCATTCACTATATACCAAAATATCACATTTAATCCTCACATCAAGTCTATAAGGTAGGTGCTACTAAAGCTCCGTTTTACTCTTTGAGAAACTGAGGCACAGAGATTTTATTTGCCCAAGATTGCAAGGCATTAAGTGGTAGAACTAGATCTCTCAATCACTAGACTGACTTCATGCTCCAAGTCACTTAGCTGTAAACTTCATAATGGCAGGGTGCCATTTAGAGGTCCCAAATATCTCTATCCTATTCCCACCCTGGTGCGAGCCAGACTGACCAGTATTGAGACCAAGCCAAGGAGGTGGTCATCTCCCTTTTCCATTTCTATACCCTTCATTCATGACTAGAGGAAAGTTTCTCCTGCCCCTTGTCTCACATTTGGTACATATCTTGTCCCCTGAGTAGACTGTAAGCACCTAGAGGGCAGGGATAACTATTCAACATATATTTATTGAATACTGACTGTGTGTTGGAGCCACTGCTAGAGGTATATGTTGCATGTTTGAGGGCCCAACATCCCTGGATCTGAGCACTCTGCTTCCCACTGGAACCATACCCCTTCCTGTCCCCATAAGTCTGTGGGAAGCTGGGACACAGAAGAGGGACAAAGCCTACATCGAAGTCCTCTTAGGAAGGGGACCTGTGGGAGTAAAGGGGGGGGTGGGTTCTGAGGAGCAAAACCACTTCCTCTGTAGCTAGTTCCTGTGTTGACTGAAAGAGCTGAAGGGGAGGAGGGGAGTGGAGAAAACAGAGCCTAAGGTTGGGGGACTATTTAAACTCTGGAGATGTGAAGGCCAAGAGTCATTCTCTATGATAAACCCCCTCCACTACTGCAGCTGGAGAAGCTTTTCCCAGTCTCTGTGCTCCCCTGGGGCAAGAGAGGTCGAGCAAGCAGTTTGGGTGGGAAAGGAGAACTGGAGGAAGTTGACAGGGATGGGCGGGGCCCTTGGGGGGGCTGACCAGGAACCCGGCTTCCTGCTCAGTACCCAGGCATCCAGCCCCTGGCTCACCCCCACCCCTTCCAGCCCCCACTCCCCTCAGGAACCTAGGGTTCCAGCCCTCCTCCCAAATCCCAGCTACCCTCCCCCATCAGTTTCTCCCCTCCAGGGGATGGAGGCCGAGAGACCCCAGGAAGAAGAAAATGGTGACCAGGTGAGCTGCTACTGGGTTGGGGAGGCTGACATGGGAGAGAGGGAGGTAAGAGGATGTGGGGCAGAGACACAGTGACAGGGGACTCTGGGGACTTGGAAGGGCTTGGGCAAACTGAGGCAGGAACAGAGACACAGAGAGAGGAAATGGGCCGTTGGCCTAGCCCCCTGCCCACCACACCCCCACTTGACTGGACCGGATGTCTCCCAGCATCAGGGCCCCCATCAGGATGAGCGTGGCTGGCCCCCTGTGAACACCACCACTCGGCCTTGGCGATCTGCTCCTCCGTCCCCTCCTCCTCCTGGGACCCGCCACTCAGGTACCCTCACTCACCCAGGGAGCTCCCTCACCTTGGTGCCCACATCCTTGTCCTTTCTGATCCCATTACCAAGGCCCTCTCCCCACCTCCTCCTGACTCCCCATTGCACCCCCTCAGCTCTCACTGCAAGTCATCTTGCACCACCACCCCTCCTGTCTGCCAACTTCTCTGGGTCTCTCAGCCCTACCCCTCCTCTCCCCAGCCCTGGGGCCCCGCTCGGGCTCCCTGCTCTCCCTGCAGACTGAGCTCCTTCTGGATTTGGTGGCTGAGGCCCAGTCCCGCCGCCTAGAGGAGCAAAGAGCCACCTTCCACATCCCCCAGAACGCCCCAAGCATAGCCCCAGCCCCACTCCGGCCTCTTGAGGACAGAGAACAGCTGTACAGCACTATCCTCAGTCACCAGGTGAGACACCTCCCCAGAAGGCAAGACCCAGGCTTTCTGGTCTCTTGGCCCTTGTTCTCTTTGGGGCCCTATCCCTCCTCCTCCCCACCATCTACCCCCTGGCCAGGCCCTGGTCCCCCCATCCCCATCACAGGTATCCTATATACCCCTCTCACCAGCCTTGGCTCGTTGCAAGGCCTGCTCCTCTTAAAACCTCACCAACACCCTCCCTTCCCTCCAATCCTCCAGTGCCAGCGGATGGAAGCCCAGCGGTCAGAGCCTCCGCTACCCCCAGGGGGACAGGAGCTCCTGGAGTTGCTGCTGAGAGTTCAGGGTGGAGGTCGAATGGAAGAGCAAAGGTCCCGCCCCCCCCCACATACCTGCTGAGACTTGAGCCCACCCCCCTACCAGCCCCTCTGCACTCCTGGGGCTCAAAGCTGGGTGGCATGCCCTCAAACCCTGCTTGGCAGGGGCACCAGAGACTGGAAGACCCAGGAGAAATCTCAATATTCATCACTCTCATCCACCTTCCCCAGGAACAGAAGAGGTGAAAGTCCTCAAACCCTGAGAATAATCAGGGTAGGGTGGTCTTTTAACTTCCTCCCCCAGGGGAGCTTGAAGCAGCCAGAAGATCCCAGCCAGAAGGACACCCCACCCCTCCTCTGATCCCAAGGAGTGGCTGGAAGTCTTGGTCCTGAGCTGTGGGGATGCCCCCAGTAGTCTAGCCACTACCCAGGATCTGAGGGGTCAGGCCTCCATCTCCCAAAAGGCAAATCTCCCAAGGTTAGGGCCTGAGAGACAGTTCCACCCTCCTTCCCAGTGAGAAGAAAGGGAGAGAGAGCATTACAAAGATATAGACCATTCTTCTACCCCACCACCAGCACTCTCAGCCCCAGGACTGAGGGGCCTACAGGCTGTGAATGGACACTGAGCATTGCCCACCCTCCCTCCCCGCTGCTGCTCCGAGTCCGATGTTTTGGTTGTATGAATAAATGTAGTATCTCCTCTGAACTGAAGAAGACTGGTGTTTGGGGCTGCGGGGTGGAGGTGGGATGTCGGGGGAGAGGGGGCAGGAAGGTGAGGGCAGAGGCCGTCTCTTTCCCTAGTCTGGCGGGAGGCCAGCTCCCCTCCCTGGCTGGTTAATTACTGGCTCATTAAGCAGCGGTTGGAGACCTCCCTAATTATAACCCCCCACCCCCACCCCAGCTCGCCTCTCCTGGTTTTAATTAAGTAGAACAGGGAGGGGAGTCATTAGGACAAGAAATATGAACTGAGCTGTCTGTGAACCCAGGGATTCTAGCGGCCGGAGTCCACAACACCTAGATTCCCTAATTCAGAACCAAGGAAGCGGCCCTCAAACCCCAAAACGCCTCCCTTCCCAGGCCACCGAAGTCCAGCCCTGGGGCCTACGCATATTTCTCCCGAAGGTCTAGTCTCCTCCCCTCGTCCCCTCTTCCCTCTCCCCTCCTCCACTCCGTCCCCGTTCCTCCGTTTCTATGTGTCTTTCTCCGCCCCCAGCTCCTCCCTGTTCCTCCTCTCTTCTCCCCTCCTCTTCCTCTCCGGCTCCCCTCCCCCCGCCTCCCTCCCTCGCTCCCCCCCTTCTCCCTCCTCCCTCCTCCCTCTCTCTCTCACACACACCCCCGCTTGGGCCTCCTCTCTCTCTCCGGCTCCATTTTCTCCGCCGCCGGGGGCCGGGGTCTCCTGTGGGGGGCCCAGCCGGTACCCCAGGTCTCCCTTCAGGGCCGGGGTGAACCTCCGGGAGAGCCCGGAGTGGGGAGACGGGCGGGGGTTGGGGCAGAGGGAGCAGCGGCCCCACCGAGTTTGGGGGGGGAAGTAACCAGGCGGGGGGGAGGGGCAGAGCAGGGAGGGGGCCTCAGGGCCCCCCCCCAACTATGGACGAGCGGCTGCTGGGGCCGCCCCCTCCAGGTGGGGGCCGGGGGGGCCTGGGATTGGTGGGTGGGGAGCCTGGGGGCCCTGGCGAGCCTCCCGGTGGCGGAGACCCCGGTGGGGGTAGCGGGGGGGTCCCGGGAGGCCGAGGGAAGCAAGACATCGGGGACATTCTGCAGCAGATAATGACCATCACCGACCAGAGCCTGGACGAGGCCCAGGCCAAGTGAGTGCCCCCACCCCGGGACCCCACACGGACCCAGCAGAAGCCCCATTCACAGGCTCTGAATCTTCTGGGAATCCTCCCCTCCCAGCCCCTACTCCAGGATCCTCTCCAGGAACCTACAGCTCTCTTCTCTCCTTACTCCTGGGAGCTCCAAAATAAGCCATCCCTCACAAACCTCCCTTCACCCCCAGGCCCTGAAACCTTCAAAGAGGGGGACCCAGGGTGGCCAAGCCCCACCCCCCAACTTCTCACTGACCCCCATACTCCCTTAAACATCCTTCCATCTTCAGAGCCCTGTTCTGGCTCTGAGCCTGAGAAACTGCTATGCTGTCTTAACTCTCCTCCCAGCCCACCCCCATACTCTCCAGGCCTGGGGACCTCCACAGTCCTTCCCAAATCTCTTACCACACCTCTCCACCATGGCCTAGTCTTCAAGGGCCCTCACCTGCCCTTGGCCCCAGTTCAGTGGGACACTAGGACTATCAGAGCCTCCTGCCTTGTTCAGTCCCAGGACCCTTCACACACATCTGTATTCAAGTCCTCCAACCCCTCTTTGGCACCTCAAACTCTGACTCTTCTTGCAGTCTCCATCTCTTTTCCTCTGAAATCTACCTAGTCACCCTCATGTCAGCAGTCACCCCCAAACTCTCCTTCACTACCCCTTTAGACCCATTTCCCACAGCCCTGTGCATGCCCAGGCGCTGCCTGCACCTTCCCTCCATCTTCCTAAACCCAAGCAGCTTCCCCACATCTCTGCTCTCTGGGAGCTGATCTCTTCCCAAGAACCCCCCAACTCCATTCTTCCCCCACCCCCACTTTGTGCCTCCCTTCTGGTTTGGAGGCTCCCGTCTCACCCTCTTGGTCTCCCTCACTCCGCCCCTCCTCTGTTTCTATAGCTCCTCAACTGTTCTCTTCCCTTCCTCTCAAGGAAACACGCCCTCAACTGCCACCGCATGAAGCCTGCTCTCTTTAGCGTCCTGTGTGAAATCAAGGAGAAAACCGGTATGTGGGACCCTCTCTGACTTCTCCCTTTTGGGGACAGAATCCTGTTCTTTATAGGACTCAAGCTCAGAGTCTGATAGCCTGGGGCCCTGAGAACAGTAGGGGTTAGGGAAGTTGCTAAAGGGGAACTGGGGAGGGAACCAAAACCTGGAAACTTGGGTCTCCAGGAAGACACCAGGAGGGCTGAGAGCTGGCTGTGGGTTCCCTGGGTCCCTAAGTTCACTGGTCTGCATGCTAGGCCTCAGCATTCGAAGCTCCCAAGAGGAGGAGCCGGTGGACCCACAGCTGATGCGCCTGGACAACATGCTTCTGGCAGAGGGTGTGGCTGGGCCTGAGAAAGGAGGGGGCTCAGCGGCAGCAGCTGCAGCCGCAGCAGCCTCCGGGGGCGGCGTGTCCCCTGACAACTCCATCGAACACTCGGACTATCGCAGCAAACTTGCTCAGATCCGCCACATCTACCACTCGGAGCTGGAGAAATATGAGCAGGTGAGGAGACGAGGCTGGAGTGGGTGAAAGGAGAGGCTCTTGGGGGTGGAATCTGAAGGCCAAAGGGCCCCTCCTCACAGTCCACTGGCTCCCACTACAGGCTTGTAACGAGTTCACAACCCACGTCATGAATCTTCTGAGGGAACAGAGCCGCACACGGCCTGTGGCACCCAAGGAGATGGAGCGCATGGTGAGCATCATCCATCGGAAGTTCAGCGCCATCCAGATGCAACTCAAGCAGAGCACCTGTGAGGCTGTCATGATCCTGCGTTCCCGCTTCTTGGATGCCAGGTGGGGCTTGGGGGCCCAGGCCAGCCCCCAACCCTGGGCTCCTTCCTATTCTTCTCCAAGCCCCTGAGCCACTGCATTACACAACATGGTACTCTGTGGCAGTGGCATTCTCTAGAGTTAGGCAAGATGGAGGCCCAGCCAGTACAGCGGGCCTCCTCACCACCTTTCTCTCTCTTCTGTAGACGAAAACGCCGCAACTTCAGCAAACAGGCGACTGAGGTCCTCAATGAGTATTTCTACTCGCATCTGAGTAACCCATATCCTAGTGAGGAGGCTAAGGAGGAGCTTGCCAAGAAGTGCGGAATCACTGTCTCTCAGGTATTGGGGAGACTTGGGGAGGAATTTTCAGGTCAGAAGCTCTCTGATTTTCCCGACTGAGGGGCTTAATAGAAAGTTCTCTACCTGACCCTGCTTTCTGCTCAACACCCCATAGGTCTCCAACTGGTTTGGCAACAAGCGGATTCGGTATAAGAAAAATATTGGAAAGTTCCAAGAGGAGGCAAACATCTATGCTGTCAAGACCGCCGTGTCAGTCACCCAGGGGGGCCACAGCCGCACCAGCTCCCCGACACCCCCTTCCTCTGCAGGTGGACCCCAATGCCATCCTGGCTGGCTGTTTTGCACACTTCCTGCTTTTGTTCCCACTTCCTGTCTAGGCAGGATCACAGCTGAGAGGGGGCCTTTTGGGGTGAGAAGGACCTAGCTAAGATGGGATGGAGATGTCAAGGGACAGAGGCCACTCCAGCAAAGTTACTTCTGCCTATCTTCCAACAGGTGGTCAGAGAGGGAGGGGGGAGCTCAGAAACTGCCCACCCCTTCTGAGTGTTGCAGTATTGTTGTTCGGATAATTTGTGTATAGTGTCACACCCCCAGAACTAGTTCATAGGGCTTTTTGGAAACCAGAGCTGTAGTGAGAATCTTGTCTGCTGTCAAGGCCTCTGTTTTACTCTTCCCTAATCCTTTCTCTACTCCCCCAAGGCTCTGGCGGCTCTTTCAATCTCTCAGGATCCGGAGACATGTTTCTGGGGATGCCCGGCCTCAACGGAGATTCCTACTCTGCTTCCCAGGTCAGGTGGCCCATCTCCTATCGAGTAGGGCTTTCCCAAACTTGGTTTCCCTCTCTTCAAGGTATGAGACTTGTCACTGTGTCATACCCATCTTTGCTGCCTGCAGGTGGAATCACTCCGACACTCAATGGGGCCAGGGGGCTACGGGGATAACCTTGGGGGAGGCCAGATGTACAGCCCTCGGGAAATGAGGGTGAGTGGATACCTGAAGCTCTCTTTGTCCAACTCTCACCAGGACAAGAGGGCCTTTTCGCTGGCAGTGTTGTCCCCATACTGGACTTCCCAGAGCCCTGCCCCAACCGTGTCTCTCTTTTTCCAGGCAAACGGTGGCTGGCAGGAGGCTGTAACCCCATCCTCAGTGACGTCCCCGACAGAGGGACCAGGGAGCGTTCACTCTGACACTTCCAACTGATCTTGCCCCTCAGGGCCACAGGGGTGGGGGCTCACAAGGCGACTCTTGAAGAGGACACGGGCATCCAGAGGACAAACCCCAGACACAGGAGAAGCACAAGACAGAGAAGGGCAAATGGGGTTATCCCTTCCCCAACCAGACTCTCTCAGTGCTGGGGGTGCTGACTTCGTGGCAGGGAGAATGGGCTCCCCTAAGGGGAGAGTGGGGTCTGTCTCCGTTTTTCCTTTTTTTCAGTCTTTCTTTTCCTTTCTCTCACAAAACCCAGAATCCTATTGGTCAGATCCCTTTCCCTTTACACACACACACACACACACACACACATGACCCCTTACTATATTCCATTTCTCTCTTTCTCTGAGCTCCCCCACTCTCTGTCCCCCACCCCACTTATCTGCTCTGGGATCTGTGGAGAAGCCAGCCCTGCCTGACCAGAGATGCCAAAACTGGGGACACACCTTCTGGACAGAGGACATGGGCCATGAACCCTGTGCCTCCCCACCCCCTGCCCCTCCAGATGGCTTTATTACCTCATACGCAGCTCATCTTAAACCAATAGAATTGCTCGGTGGACTAGAGTGTCTGACTCAGATATCTACCTCGGAGGGAGTTTCTGCTACTTTAGGAAATTGTTGACTGGGCTTTGGGGTTGAACTTTTTTTTTTTTTTTTTTTTAAAGGAAAGAAAAAAAAACCCTGGGATCCATCTGTATTTTTAAAAATTTTTGTTGTTATTGGTTCTTAATTCTTAGTTTGGGGAAGTAGATGTTTTTATAAATATATTGATTTCTTTTTTTTTTTTTTTAATTTCTTGCTTTCCCATGTTAGAGGTGATAGCCAAAGGGGTCATAAGAGAAAGGGAACAAATAGAACTTGTAAAGAGGCCCACCTGGCTCCAGTCCTGTCCATCAGAAAGTACATTTAGCAGGACACCAAGCCTGCACCCCTAAAATCACTTAGATGTTCTTTGCTTATGCAGGCAGCTCTTTGCTGTATTTGCTGTGGAGATAGGGGTTTGATCTGCTGACCTATCCCCACCCCCCACTTCTCACAACCCTTGGGCAGGGCTGGACTCAGTAACTCTGAGGAAATGCCACCTTTCCCTGTGAGTGACACGTCTTTAAATCTTTTTTTTTTTTTTAACTACTATTTGCAGATTGGAGGGGAAAGAATGGGGAGGGGCTTATTGCCAAATATGTTAAATGTGGGTTGGGGTGCTTGTGTTATGTTCTCTCTCTCCATTTCCCCAGAAATGAGGCATCTTTTATTCTCAGTCCAAAGTCAAGAGGGTGGGGAGAGAGAGGAGGGAGGCTGCAAAAAGCCAGGTATGGGGGAAAGTAAAATCACCAGTGTCCCATCCTTGGCCAGAACCCTTGCCATCTGAACCCCTCAAACATCCTCAGGATTTTACAAGACTGTCCTAGTGGGGAACCTCTCCTGTCAAGGATCCAGGCAGGACTGAAGGGGAGCAGGTTAGGTGTGTGATGGGTGGTGGGTGGGAGGCATGGGCTGGGGGCAGTTCTCTCCTCACTTGTAAACTTGTAGTTTTCACAGGAAAAAAATAAAAACTACTAAAAAAAAAAAAAAAAAAAAAAAACCACATATACACACACATACACAGTTTTAAATAAAGAAATTTCTTTTTTCCCTGGGTTTAGTTGAGAATTATTTTCAAAAACATGAGAACCCCCTCCCAAAATCTCTCTTTCTCATAAAACCCCAAACAGGTCTTTTTCCCAAGTCCTTCCAGCCTTGGCCTCACCACCGAGGCTCTGTGGTTCACCCTCACCCCCTCCCTGAGGGAAAAAGCCGGGCTTGAACCCTGTTGCCCAGCAACCTTGCCTAAGCAATACAAGTGTCTACCAGGCAAGCCCTGGTGGACTGAGAGGATGGGTTGGGGGTCCTGAGTGATAAGAGACCCTAGGAGGTACACTCCCCACCCCCATGGATGTGGCCGGGCCCAGAGACTAGCAGTGCCTAAAGGGTGGGGTGATAACCTTCTCCTAGCATCTGAAGGACTCTTGTCCAAGAAGCATGAATTCCTAGCATTCCCTGTGACGGGACAGGACGGGAAGATGGGGGTAGGGGAGAGGGTGCAAGCCCCACCTAGGGCGGTGGCCACAGTAGTGAGGGGCAGACAGAACAAGGAGCCTGGGAAGGAAGCAGGATGGCAGCAGGGGCAGCGGCTGGAGCCTGGGTGCTGGTCTTCAGTCTGTGGGGTGAGCTACTCCCCTCACACCAATCCTCCCTGCAGAAAGCACTCCATCCTCCCCACATCTGCCCAGGACTTTCCTAGAACCTGGGCACTGCTTTTCAAGCTTCCTCACCCACCTTGTCCCAGTTTTATTAGCCCCCATTTTCCTCCTACCCTTCCACCATCATACTGTCTCCCAGGGGCAGTAGTGGGAGACCAAAACATCACAGCCCGGATTGGGAAGCCACTGGTGCTGAACTGTAGGGGTGCCCCCAAGAAACCACCCCAGCAGCTGGAATGGAAACTGGTAAGCCGGGCTCCTGTTGCAGCTCCCCCACTTCCAGAGAGATCAGTGATGATTTGTATCCCCACCTCCCTGCCTCAGGAGTCCTTTCCCAAAGGACTTGCACTGCTCAGGCCCCTTTCCTCCGTCCGCAGAACACAGGCCGAACAGAAGCTTGGAAGGTCCTATCTCCCCAAGGAGGCCCCTGGGATAGCGTAGCTCGAGTGCTCCCCAATGGCTCCCTCCTCCTGCCGGCAATAGGGATCCAGGATGAGGGGACTTTCCGGTGCCGGGCAACAAGCAGGAATGGAAAGGAGACGAAGTCAACCTACCAAGTCCGAGTCTACCGTAAGAGTTCAGGGCCTTCCGTGGCCCACCTTTGATCTAAGGAAAAGTTTTGACCCCAGCCCTTTACTCCTTGGCCCTGGTGTGTGAGAACCTGTGACTTCAGATGCCCTAGTTCCCACACCTGGGGTGAGTCTTCAGCACTGCAGCCTGATTGAAATTTTCCCTCCTTCAGAGATTCCTGGGAAGCCAGAAATTGTCGATCCTGCCTCTGAACTCATGGCTGGTGTCCCCAATAAGGTAGTGGAAGAAAACGGGAGAAGTAGAAAGCAGCCCTGAGAAGAGGAAGGGGGTGTAAGCCGTGTGCGTGCATGTGTGTGCATTTTGTGTGTGCATGTGTGTGTAGTCTCTTATTTTCAAAGATGATGGTTACTCTTTCCTCAGGTGGGGACATGTTTGTCTGAGGGGGGCTACCCTGAAGGGACTCTTAACTGGCACTTGGATGGGAAACCCCTCATACCTGATGGCAAAGGTAAGCCCCAAAGTCCCCCCTCTTTGCTGCCTTCTTTCTGACCCCTCCCACATCCACCCTGGGATTTCTTGCCTTGTCCTCCCCTCTCCTCCCTGCCATAGGAGTGTCTGTGCAGGAAGAGACCAGGAGACAGCCTGAGACAGGGCTTTTCACACTCCAGTCAGAACTGACTGTGACCCCAGCCCTGGGAGGAGCTCCCCATCCCACTTTCTCCTGTAGCTTCAGCCCTGGCCTTCCCCGGCGCCGAGCCCTATACACGGCCCCCATCCAACTCACTGTCTGGGGTGAGTGGAGGTGGGGAGGGCCTGAATGTCTGGCCCTCAAGGAGGGAAGAGTTAAGCCCACGGCCACAGGGACCACACAGAGGTATAACTCTCAACCTCATGCCCCCACCCCCAGAGCCTGTGCCTCTGGAGGTCCAATTGGTGGTAGAGCCAGAAGGTGGAACAGTAGCTCCTGGTGGTACCGTGACCATGACCTGTGAAACCCCTGCCCAGTCCTCCCTTCAAATCCACTGGATCAAGGACGTGAGTAACTTGGAAAGGGGGCTGGGAAGTCGACAGACACATCACTGGCAACTAGGAGGACAGGAGGCTCATAGAGAGGCAGGCAAAGAGCTGGGGAAGACAACAGAGTATCTGAAGATACGGAGACAAAGACAGGAGTATGGGATGTGTGGAGATGTTGTAACAGTCTCCTGTCCCCCTTCTCCCCGCAGGGCATGCCCTTACCCCTTCCCCCCAACCCCGTGCTGCTCCTCTCTGAGGTAAGGCCTCAGGACCAGGGAACTTACAGCTGTGTGGCCACCCATCCTAGCCATGGGACCCAGGAAAGCCGTGCTGTCAGTGTCCACATCATCGGTGAGGAGACCTCTCCACAAATCCCAGGGACGCTGGGGCTGGGCTAAGGGATCGTGCAGACTCGAATTCCCTACTCCATCCTGGCACTGTCTCCTCCATGCACCCACACCCAGGCCTCCCCTGCCCCACCCAAGCCCTACCAAGAGAGCAGCCCAGCCTGTCCCCTCCCCTCTCTTCTCTGAACTGAAGAAAGGGGAAGACTCCACTAGGACTCCCACAAAATAACCTACTTTCTTTCAAATTAAGACCTTCCCTCCTAACTTGCTCTGACTTTGTCTTTCAGAAACAGAAGAGGGGCCAACTGCAGGTGAGGGGTTGGAAGCAGATGGCCCCAACGTGACTGGGTGATGGTCAACAAGAAAGGAATGGGAGTGCGAGGGGCCGGGCCCGCTCTTCTCCCCATCTCTCTACAGGTTCTGTGGAAGGGCAGGGGCTGGGAACTGTAGCCCTAGGCCTGGGGGTCCTGGGAGGCCTGGGGATAGCTGCCCTGCTCATTGGGGCCATCATATGGCAAAGACAGCGACGCCGAGGAGAGGAGAGGTGAGTGGAGAAAGCCAGACACCTCAGACTTTGGACTTCCAGGCAGCAAGGAGGGGAGTAAGGGGAAGGAATGATGGAGTGCTAGGAACCATGTGCAACATTCTTCCCCATCTTCGTCCCCAGGAAGGCCCCAGAAAACCAGGAGGAGGAGGAGGAGGAGCACGAAGAGCTGAATCAGTCAGAGGAGCCTGAGGCAGCTGAGGGCAGTGCAGCAGGACCTTGAGGGATGCACAGCCAGACTCCATCCATCAGCTCTGTTTTCTTCCCCCGCCCCTGCCCGCTTTGTTCTGGCCCCACACTAGTTCCGTCCTGTGTAACTGTACCCCAACTCACCAAATCTGCTTCCATAACCAGAGCCTCCCACAGTAAGAAGTAAATACCTTGCCCCATTTGCTCGTGTATGTGTATGTGTGTGTGAGTGTGTGTGTGTGTGTATGTGTGCGTGTGTGTGTGTGTAAGACACTCTTACCCCCTGAACCCTTAAAAGCCTTGAAGGAGAGGCTCACCGTCATGCCTCCCCACACCACACAGATATTTACTTAAGTTAGGGAGAAGCTGCTCCTGTTCTGGAAGGAAGGAAGGACAAAGGTAGGCAGAGCTTCCATCAATACATCTCACCTTGTTTATTGAATTTATAATAAAGGAGGTAGTGAGGGGAAGGAAGCACTTAACTCAGAACCCATAATAGACATTGGGGAGAGAAAAATTAAGTTAAATCAACAAGGGGAAAGTAGGGGACAGGGAAAGAGGGAGCTTTGCCCATCTTTCAACACCAAATCAAGAAATGTGGGGGGAAGCAAAGGATCAGGAGGGAGAAGAAACAGACATTCTCTTCTGTCTGTCCTTCTATCCCAGAGCTGGGGGTTATGATGCTACTCAGTGAGTTCAGAGCAGAAGGTTCTTCCATAGTCTGCAAAGACGTCACTCCTCCCCACACCCTCCTAAAAAGTTGGCCTCAGCTAATATAAATGGAGTAGTTGGGGAGGAGGGGCCTGAAGTCAGGAAGGGTCAGCAAGGACCCCCAATACTGATTCTCCTCTGGCCAGAGGTGGGCAGAAAGGAGACAAAGCTCAAATACTGAGCAGCCAGAAAAAGAAGAAGATGGCGAGAAACAGGAACAGGGAGTCCTGCCAGCTGGAGGCCGAGTGACCCTGTCCCAGATCCACACCTGCAGGAGAGAGGAAAGCTGTGGAAGAAACATCCACTCCTAGGTTGGGAAGGGGACTGGGGACAGAGGGCTCCTTGCTAGGAGCTGAGGGAAGGCTCTTACCTGTTCCCCGATGCAATGACTCATGGGTGTTGAAGACGGTGGTGAAAAAGCCAAAGGGAAAAGCACCAACACCAAATGAGAAGTGAAAGCCCCCGGTATCGCCAAATGACTGGAATCCCTAGGAAGGTGGAGAAAGTCAGAGGGGAACAGGGCAGGTCTTTGGCAAGGAAGGAACACAATCAGACAAGACTCACCCCTCTGCTCTCTGGAGCTGGTCGCTGGCCCTGGGGCCGGGGTGGAGTTTTCAATCTGAGGAATAGGAGAGGGACTAGCAAGGAGAAGGGTTCTCTCCCCTTCCACACCCCGCTCCCAGGGCAGAAGCCTTCCATCTTCCCTCAGCACCACCCCCTCTCTCTCACCTGGGGTCCTGGGGCTTCTGGCTCCCTCGACCATAAAGAGGGACAACCTTTTCTCTGCTGATCCCAGCTTTACACACTGGGCATTCTTGTCGCTCTGGCCGTGTCTCCAGCCACTGGGGGAGAAAATGAAGTGGTTTCCAGTACACAGCAGGGTCTCTGAACTCCTCAGACCTCCCCAATTCCCTCTTCATCTCCTCTGAGTACGCACCTGATGAAGACAGGGCCAACTGGATGGGAGGGAAAAAAAGGAAGTCAAACTAGCTACAGAAAAGAGACACGGACCTGACCTCACAGAGTCCCATCTCACCCCCTCTTCCCAGGTTTCTTTTCATATTTTCCGCAACCTCTACCATGCCCACCAATCTGGCCTTCCTTCTCTGATCTTACAACATCTAAAGCTATATCCATCCTCAACATGCTCAACCTTCTCCTCTCCCCCAACACACCAACACACACACACATCCATCCCCTCCCTTCTCTGCCTTTTGACTCGGTTTCCAGTTCTCTTCAACCAGTTTTCCAGATCTCCTCTTTCAATCCCAGCCCCTCCTTGCCCCCATCAATCCCAAACCAGACTCCCCCTTTACTAGCACCTTCCCCCACTACTCCTTTTCCTCCCTTCTAGGTTCAGCAAAGTCCCTATTTCCACAATCCTTTAAATTCTCAAAGTTGCCCCCTGTCCTCAGGTTTGTCATACCACTCACTGCCTACCAGTATCTCATCGGACTGTGATTCCATATTCCCTAGGTCTCAGCCTACTGAAGTAATGTGTGTCTCCCCTAATCTTTGAATCTAATCCGTTTCCACCTGTACAGCTAAGACCCCTCACTTTCTGGGGTAAGGTGGGTCGGGTCTCGCCTGTACAGATGTGCTGTGCCTGCCCTACCCCCGGTCCGGCCCCACTTCCCCCTAACACACCCATACCCCTCAACTCCTAGTTCCACGGACTTTCTGTTCCATGGGTGTCTTCTGTACAGACGTGACCCTCTCACCGACACATACTAAAAAAGAAATATTAAGTCCCACACTCGGGCCTCACCTACGGGGATGTGCCCTCTAATTATCTGTATGATTGTATGCCATCCCGCCCCCAGCCTCCTTATATGGAGGTGAGACCCACTTTTCTCCCACTCCCAAATTCTCACCAGTACAGGTGGCCACACACACTGACCACAGCTTCGCGAGCAGTCTCCAGACATATATTACATTCGAAGGTCGCGCCCGCCCCGCCCCGCTCGCGGTTTGGCCCTTCGGGGCCCCCGTCCTCCTCCTCCGCTGCCGCCATGGACGGGTTCTGTTTCGCCTTCAAGAACCCCTTAATCCCCTCAAAAACACAGATACACACGCCCCAACAACAAGAAACCGCCTCCGGCCCACGATCTTTGGGCGGGCTTGAAAGTTTTCTAGCCACTATTGGCCTGAGTGCCTGCCAATCACACAGGTCGAAAGAAAGGATTGGTCCAAAGGGTAGGGGTGAGGGTTGAGCAGTCCTGCCCTTGCACCAATGATTATTGGCTGATACAGTTTCAGTCAGTATGCAATGCGACGGGATTGGTAACAACTCGATACGTCCGGTCGCCCGACCCGGGGGAGCTTTACTCGTCTGAGTAGCTGCCAGTCATAATCAAAGGCCAGAAGCAATTGGTTCGGGACTACACAGGCCTCGCCTACTACAAGCCCTCTTTCTTTCTTTCACTTCCCCTTTCAGAGAATGTCCGGATTCCTATTGGACTTTGGAGCTTAGGATTCCAAAGCACTTCATTGGCTGGAACTCGATGGAAAATGGTGGTTAAGGAAAATGCGCATGCGTTTCAGGCGGCGGGAAGGGATGGGCCAATCCTGTGAAGGTTAAGCCTTCTCTGGTCCCTCCCCTTCACCTCTATCTTGTCGCCATGGTGACTGCTCTACGATTGGCGAGGTTTGAGGTTCAAAGGCCTTGGCTCGGCCTCATCCGGGGCCTTCGGCTGTACCCAGGCTGATTGGGCCGTTTCTTTCACCTCTGATTGGCCGAGATCGGAAAAGACGGCGAAGAGCTTGGCAAGAGAGCAAATACTAGGGTCTCAAGGTTCAAAATGGCTCCGGCCTCCTTCGGTGACGTAGAGGGCAGAACTTGGCTTTGCCCCTCCCTTTTAGTGAAGAAGGGAGCAGAACTGGGATCAGCTCAACGTTTGGATGGTGCGAGCATCGATCTGCAGAGCTGGTGTTAACCCATCTCCCTCGGCCGGAGGACTCCTCCCGCTCCTCCCTAGGTGATTTACAGAGCAGAACAGAACTAAAGGCCCACACCTTTTTAATGTGACACAGTATGACAGTTAATCTCGACTCCGTTTTAAACCTTAAAAGCAGAAAAGGCCTCGTTCCACCCCTTTGTGAGTGGGTACCTAGGAGGCAAGACCCGCCCCTTTTCAGGCGACCCGCGGCGGAATGAGGTTAGGCCCGCCCCTTCCGTCCTATAATGTGTCCCGCAGAACTAGGGTCTTCCTCCCGGGTTGGACCCCTGGGACTTGAGCAAGCCGCTTCAAAGCTTGGGCATTTTGTACGAGTTGGGGGTCTTTTCTACAGTGACCCTCACTGTGGCCCAAGGAGCGGAGCTAGGTAACAGTCCTCCCGCTACCCGTGTTCTTTACATCCTCTACCTCAGGGCGAGTAAATTCAAGCAGGGCGAAGGTGTGTCTGGCAGAGAAAGACACAGGCTGAGGGCAGTACAGCAACACCCAGATAAAAGGTCCCACGTGACTCAAGTGAGGAAAGGTGAGAAGTTGGGAGTTCCCTAGAGGAGGGCTGGGGAGGTGAAAGTACAGGAGGCCTGTAAAGGTATAGGAAAAAAGTTATTGGGACGTGGAAACCAGGAGAGGAGTGATGGATGAGCCTGGTAAAGGGATAGTGGAAGTAGGGGGAAGGGGAGATCAAGGGCTGGAGAGGGAACAGATACAGGACTACAAAATTAAGGAGGCATCCTCATCCCAGAGTAATCTAGCATTCATTTTTAAAAAGCAACCCTAATGCGCAGCTTCCATTGGAAGAAAAGACGCACCAAGACTCTGTTGGGGAGGGAAGCTGTCTCACACCGCTTCAGTGACTAGGGGAGACTGACAGGAAGGAAGTAGAAAAGTACTGAAGTTAAATAAAGGGCATGGGAGGACAGGGGCAGGAAGAGGGCCTGAGAGGAAGTATCCCTTCTCTTTAAAGACCAGAGAGGAGTCTAGAGGGAGCTGGGCTGCTGGAAGGGGTGGGGGGAGCAAAGGTCAAAGAGAACTGGTAGAGAGCTGGAGGGTCAGGTGAGATGAGACGAGGCCCTGGAGAGAAGACGGGTGAAGAATTCCGTGCTTCGCATTTAGTAGGTGCTTGAAAATATCTGGAATTGGATGGGGGACAGGAAAGAGGTTTTTGGAGAAGAGTTGGAGGGAATAAACAACACATAAGGGAGTTAAGGAGAAAGGAAGAAACCCAGTGAAATTTCCAGGAAGAGGAGACCTGATGAAGAAGGAATGGGCAAAGGAAGGAATACAACACCAAGGGACACAAGCCGTGTGTGCTGAAAGGGAATTGGAGGAAAAAAGGACGCAGCTGGAGCCAGAGAAGGCCAGAGACGGAGGCAGAGCCCAGCGGAGCTCTCGCGGGGCGGAGCTACCAAGAGGCGACAGGTCGCTGCGGAGAGAAGATGCCTGGGTCCCTGGGAGTCGATTGGCAAAACAGGCCGCCCATCACCGCCCCCTACTTCCTGGCCAGCCCCGGAAACCCGCAGGCGTTGGGGAGGGGTGGG